TATGAATCTATCGCACTGGGGTTGGCGAACAACTGCCTCGACAGATACCCGTCGCACTAATCTCGACCACAAACACTGTCCACGGACATTTAGTCACTGTGTGGTCCTAACCGACACTATACATACGTCCGCGTTGAAATCTGCGTCAAAACACCACAGTCCAAACCTCGCCATCATATGCATGCCCGTTCCATGTCCCTTACTAGAGGCATAGTATGAAAGCAGCTCAAGTACTTGGGAACCCTATTCTTTGAGGCATGCTTGCACTCAACTAGGTGGTGTGAGGTCCACCTATGTGGGTCCCCGCAGCTCTGTTAGCTGTGGCGCCCAATCTTAAAAATAGATGGGGGAATGACTCAGAAACTCGACTTGTGCAGGGAAGAAAGAGAGTGAGGTCGACTCTAGGTTTCCCATTCCCACACCACATCAGCGCATTCCACATTGTAGCACACCTGACGCGTTTAATCTATCATATTTTGCGAAAATGCGTGATCTGATAGGCTTTAAACTCATCGTTTTCCTCCTCCCAAAGAAAACTAAGAGGAAGTTATGAGGACATGAACCGAAGTATTTTGAGACTGACGTTTTGCACACTCGCTCGGTTCCATCATTAGGTAATTAGGTAATTGTTCCCGTTTGCCGTGACTGTTTCGGTCTTGCCGAACGAACGCACGAACGTTGACCTGCCTGTTCACCGCTGGTTGACTTTGCGATTGACCGCTGGTGGGCTCGCGTGACCTTTTCCCTCTTTGCGGCTGTCGTAATTGTTGGCGAGTCAAGGTGCTAACCGGCCTGTCCCTCGTTGACCGACGGACCAAATTTTGCCGATGGATGCAAATATGCGAGTTCCAGGAAGCAGTTCGAAAGAAGAAGATGCGATCAGTGGAACACGAATTTTAGTTTCCTGACGTTTCAGATCCCTACATAAAAGGAGCCCCCGAAGCAGTCTCTCGACTGTTACAACCCGCTGGAGTAGGCAGAGCCCATCAACCACAGTGGACAATACGCCGCCGAGTGATGCAACCTAAAGACAGACTGCCCCCTACTTCAACCTCCGTAGTTGTATACAAAATACGTTGCAACGATGGAGGCGTTAGAGAAACAGGGCGCAGATTGCAGACCCGTCTACAGGAACACAAAGCGGCGGCCCGGAGACTAGATCCTAACTCACAGCTTGCGACACATATCGGAGAGACTGGCTACAACTTCGATATTCAAGACAATCGTAGGCCGAGGAGCCTCAAAAGCTGAAAGATTTACGTTTGAGGCATGGCACTCAGACGCAAACGCTGTCAACAGGCATCTGAACCTCCCTGCCGCCTACAATGTCCTATGTCATTACGTAAGTGAAGGACAGGACACGGTCAAACCGAAGTCAGGATTTTTAGACGAAGACGGCACTGTGACGAAACCACCAGAAGAGGTAGCAGGATTACCAACATCCTCTGCCCTGGAGACGAAACAGAACACCAACTGCAGTCACGCCATGCCTAAATCCACACGCATGGCCAAACAGCGACCGGAGAAAAATCGATCAGCCCAAGGCCAACACGTACAGTCGCAACTTTAAACTTTCAGATCAATAAAGTCAGTATTCACTTCAGTAAAGGACAGCCGGCCCAGCTGTCCAAAATCTCAGTAAATCTACAAATTTATTCAGGTGAGCAGAAGAGGAACTTTTAGGATCCTTACTGATTGGTAACCGTAGGATGGTGTGAGGCATGCGCATCATGTCTCCTAGCTTTCTGCGAAAACTTGATTAATGGTATGAGGAGCGGGTGTGTGGGTCACACGTAGACGGGCTGTGTAATATTCTCCATCTGCGCCGCCGGACTCTGTCTAGTAACCGGGCCGGGGGGGGGAGAAAGGAGTGGGCGGACAGAGTGCGATGGGTGCGGCGCAAGTCTGCGATCACTAACTCACGCAAACGTCACTGTGCTGCGCCCACCTCTGTGTGGGGCGCATGGTGGACATAATCATTCTTGTTAGTCAAACTGGTGTCTACGTCTTGGTAGGCGCTGTACACACAACACATTTTTGAGAGAGAACTGCCAATTGCTCTGGTAATATGCGATTTTTTCTCGTCTTCACGTGAGTGAGCGAATCTCCGAAGCGG